GACGAAAACTGCATTATTTGTTGCCATGTATTGCAGCAGCCATTGGATATGACAGGTATTGTTTTTTTCTGCTTTGTTGCATCAGATTGCCCTCACCTATTGACATACATTTGGCGTCTGGCAAACTGAAAGCTTACCTTTTTACTTTTCTTTTTAGAAATCAGATAATGGAATGCCCCCCTCCCAACCCCCCTCCTCTCTCCCCATTAATCAAGCTGTGAATGCAATCAAAGTGAAAAAATACTGCATCATTACCAAACTGGGGCATTTGTTTCATAGTAGTATTCCTGTTTACATTTTTCAGTAAAATTTTGTTAAATGACATATTTAGCTTTTTGCTGGGCCCTGCAGATATAATAACAGTTTATGACCTCGCCTTTTCAGGTTTGGTGACAACAGATCCCCTGACGCGTGGCGGGTGGCTGTTTCCTCTCAAAGATGTGGGCCAGTCGTCACATATAAAAGATGTGTTATTATGAGAATTGTTACATTGGCCTCAGTGATGCTAGTGCCATAGTGAGTTTGTTGAACTGTAGAATCCCTGGATTTTTCCCTTTGAGTTTCATTGTAACAGCGCTCAACTGCTTCTGTTCGCTGGGCTGGGTAAAGCTAAGACAAGATCCATTTGAAGCGGAATTTAAAAGACATCCCATTACTGTTACTACATTCATATGGCAAGTATCTAATTACACTGAGGTTTACAGATTTTTAATGTTGGTCATAAAGATTTTGATTATGATTTTCTGTATTTGGCTGTTCTATTTGCTCATTTTGGTTGGGTTAATCTAGGTTAGTTTTAGTTTTTTGACAAGATGTCTGTGTTAACTTCTGGTGGGGAAGTCAGCCACTTGCTTGGAATGTTTCACAGTGTGACATCAAACATTAATCTTGTCCTACTTTAATGCAATTATCCATGTTTATTGCTCATAAAATCCTCCATAAACATCCTCTGTAACTTGACCTGATGCTCTGTCACTTGTTTGTCTCCAGGGAGATAGTTTTGTTTCTGGAACATTCTAGCTAACTAACTGAGGTTAATGTTTGAAAACCCCCATGTCTGTACTCTAGGGGCTCAGCATACCCGTTTCTGTGCATCACCTCACATTTGTACATCCATGCTAGCTCTAATTTGTTATTGACTTGGCTTTTGTGGAGGGAAGAGATCATTACTTTCCAATGAGAGCATTTGAGAGTATTTGACAAGAAACCACAGACTCTTGAGGGCTTGGTGAAATCCCTTATTTCATGGTTCATGGAAAGTGAAACTGCATTCATGAATCTTTAAGTCCTACGATGTTATTTGTGATACTTTTTCATGACCACAACTGTATGTTAGGGGCAGACATGAAAGCCAAGTTCAACACAGGGCAGAGACAGGGGCTTGGGGGTTGGGTCGCTCTACGGTGGGATATGCAGACTCCCACCGTGCTCTGCATTGATAACATGGAAAAAGCACTGGGGTCGCCATGGAAACAAATCCCAAACTATTACAGCCATTGGACCCCGTCACCCCTCCGATACCACATGGCTCATGGTAGATCCAGTGAATCCAGACCTCAAACTACCCCTCTACAAAAGGGAGACAGGAGTGAGAGTCCTGTCCAAAAGTCCACATTTGATCCCAGAGCAGGACCAATTGCAGAGAAAACCACAGCAGACTGCCCTTTGTCTTTCTTTACAACCTAAAACTTTTCCAAAACACTGTCTGAAAGCTGATAGACCCAGAAGTGTAGGTCAAACCCAGGTCACTGCTGAGATGTCACTTAGCCCCAGGTGTCCTCAAGAATAAAGTTGTACTATAAGCCTCTGTGTAGCTACAAAATGTACAGATTTTAATTCATGCGATGGTATAATTGACAAAAATGGGTAGAGTAGCCAAACATCTTTGCCAAGTAAGAGTAAAAAAGCATTTGGGAAAGCTACTACTCTAAGTAAGAATAACTTGAGGAGTAGCTTTGTTATATCTGATTTATAGTTGTAAATGCAATTACAATTGCAAAACATAAAGTAATGTACAAAATCTGGTATTTTCAAAGGATAGACACAAAACTGAGAAAAACTCATGTCATGTCTGAAAGAGAGGTGCAAGAATCACAAATGGTCAAATCATTTCATATTGTCAACATAACATGTCACTTGTAGACTTCCCACTCACAGCAGGACAACAACCAAAACTTTTACTCAAGTGAGAGAACTGTTACTTAAATACAAATATTTCTCAAGTAGGAGTAAGCGTATGCTGCTAGAAAAGTACTCTGAAAACTATAATTTCTTTAAAAAGTTACTCAAGTAAATATAACTGACTGACCAAAGGAGAAAGAGAGCTCAAAACATAGTAATGAGTACATTCCACCTCTGTTAAGTGCCATGCTTAAGTTTCTGTCTCAGTCATTTGTAGGAATTACATTTTTTTTACTGCACCAATGAGCCCCATGGCAGGTTGTGACAGCTGGGAAAGTGATGACAAATAAATTGTCTATGGAGTAAAGGAAGGCAAGATGGCACTTGTTACTTTGATACATGAGTCTCACTTCATTCTGCTGGAATCAGCAGCACCTTTTGTTAATGTGGACGCTATCCTAAAATGGTAAAAGATACAAACAGTATTTTGAAGCATTTGAAGATTTAATAAAAGTGCGCAATAATCTCATTTATTTCTTGGGTCTTACTCGCTCTTTGTTTCCAGCTAATACAGCATATTAGGTCCACAGTCCACTGCTCTTGACTGTTGTATTATGTCACAATATGGAGCTGATTAAAACAATTTCTTCATTGTGGGACACATTGGTTTGTTTTTTAGTTTGATTTGTATGTATAACTAAAAAAATATCTACAGTTTACTCCTTGACCACCGATGAGCTGTTAGGGCGAGGCTGGGAGAAAACAATAGAGCCTAATGACCTGAAACTACAAGTCCAGAGCAAGTTTCAGGATAAAACTCCTCCCCCATGGCAGTACTATAAATAATACCTCCTGCACCGATCTGATACCAGTATTCTATATTGGTGTGGATACTGAGAAATTTGCAGGATTGAATATTGCCTTCCATTGGTTTAGCAGATATCCTTGTTTGACAAATAAATTGATGTACCGGTAATAAGACTGTTTACTGGTTGTAGTTGGCCCGGAAAGTCCCATAATGGTTGTATTTCTAGAAAGGTAAGTTATATAAACTATTTGGATCAGTTTTGTCCTTCTTTCTTTCTTTCTTTATTTTAAAACTGTTGGTATCGGTTGATATTGGGGATCGGCAGATTCTTAAAGCATTAGTATCAAAACCAGTATTGAAACTGAAAAAGCTGGATCAGTGCATCCCTTGTTTTGTCTCTTGACTATCTGGGGCCAATTTCGTCATTCCAAGTCATGTCTGAGCCACCAGTCTGGTTAGAAGCTTCTAGTTACCTTTTCTAATCATTCTGGTTTTAATATTTGATGACTTCTCCTTAGTCAGCCGGATGTTATTGTTATCATTTAATATATTGCGTGAGTAATATAAAAGCCAGTAGGCGGGGTCTGGTCTACAGGCAGCAGGCCCTCAGGTGCTCAAGGGTTTTACTCATCACTTTACTAGAGCTACACATGTCCAGATCTGCTGTAGACATTGTTAATATCTCCACCTTTGAGGTCAGAGGGTGCAGTTGATAGTTTTGGTAATGTCTGAGATACCTAACAAAGTGTCTCGTCATAGCTGATTCCTCTTGTTGACTTTTGCTGTAGGAATGTGTGACGTGGCTCTGATGTGGCCCAGGCTCGTCCTCCTGTCCCATTCAACAGTAAATCCCTCTTCTTTAGTCTGGGCTTTGTCAGTCCCATGTCCTGAACCGTGGATCCCAAACAGCTCTATTAGAATCTCTCAGGGGCTTGTCATGTTTTCACAGAGAGAGGTATGTAAAGAAAAGTCTGTGTCAGTGAGCTGACTCACAATTAGCAGCATAGCAACAGAAAGCATCCGCGTCACTAGTTTGCACTAAAGGTATCCCATGTATGGTATTTCTCTGTAATTTTCCTCCTGAACGAATCGTGTACTAAATTACAAAATTGGCTTGTGTTGCCAAGAGACCATATAAAAAGTTGGTTGAAGTTGTAATGTGCTGATAGTAGAATGCAGACAGACAATGTGTTACTTACTGATAACTGACTGATAATACTTCTGCAATGGTGTTATTCTACATAGATTTGTATGGCTGATGTTTAGAAGTTACCATGGTGACACAATACACACATTAGAAACACTGCCAAAAAAAGTCTTAAGAAGATTAAGATTGCGAGCATGACTTACTGAAAAACTGCTGGCTGATGCTAGCTCGCTTGTGACTGTAATTTGACGTGTGATAGAGACTTGTTTAACAGTGGTAAATCCGGCTAAGTCAACTCTTTCTGGTCAGATTGTGTTACATTTAAGATCAAGTCTAATTTGAGTAACAAAGCTTCAGACAGAGCAGTTCCCACAGTTAGCATCACACC